GGCGGTGGCGGTGGTGGCTGCAGGCGCAGGCAGGCGGCAGGTGCTAGAAGCCAGGCTGGGCGAGGTGTGCACCCGCTGGGTTCCCGGGCCGCCGCCCCCTCACTGCCGGGTTCTTTCGCTCTCTCCGTGCTCCCTGGCGCGTCCAGCCCCTGGCCTTAGCGCCCCGGCTCATGGCGCCCCGCGGTTGAGCCGGCGCCGCCAGGGACCCCTCCCGTGGGCCTCCCCGGGGCGCGCAGATCCCGGAGCCGCCCGCCCACCCTCCTCGGAGTCTCCCTCCCCTCCTCGCCCGAGCCGGGCGGGACCATGGCTGCGAAGCTTCGAGCGCATCAGGTGGACGTGGACCCGGACTTCGCGCCGCAGAGCCGGCCGCGCTCGTGTACCTGGCCCCTGCCGCAGCCCGACTTGGCGGGCGACGAGGACGGAGCGCTGGGCGCTGGGGTGGCCGAGGGCGCCGAAGACTGCGGGCCGGAACGCCGGGCGACGGCCCCCTCGATGGCCCCAGCGCCGCCGCTGGGCGCGGAGGTCGGACCGCTGCGGAAAGCCAAGAGCTCCCGGCGGAACGCGTGGGGAAACCTGTCCTACGCCGACCTCATCACTAAAGCCATCGAGAGCGCCCCGGACAAGCGGCTCACGCTCTCGCAGATCTACGACTGGATGGTCCGCTACGTGCCCTACTTCAAGGATAAAGGCGACAGCAACAGCTCGGCAGGCTGGAAGGTGGGGGCGTCCGGCTGGGGAGGGAGACTAGGGCCGCCGTCTCTGGCTTTCGGGGGCTGCTAGGTGCGTCTGGGCTCTGGGCCACCCCTAGGGGTCACGGAGTGTGCGCCCAGGGCGTGGGGCCGTCCGGCAGACAGGCGAGGGCGTGCTGGGAGCAGCTGTGTGCGTGCTCCCTCGCCAGGAAGGATGCGGGGTGGGAGGTCTGGCAGGGTGACAAGGGACGGCCGCTTTGAGGGGTCCCTGGGGAATATCCCTACCACATCCTGGGTGTGTGTGTGTGTGTGTGTGTGTGTGTGTGCATGCGCGCGCGCGCGTGCACGCGTGTGCGTGATGGTAGGAACCCATGCTGCCCAGACCACTGACATTGAGGAACCCCCTAGCTCCTTGGAGTTTGCTTTGTGTTACTTCCTTTTATGCACTATACCTAGATACCTTTTTTCGTTTGTTTTTTTTTAAGAGCTGTAGTCATGACTTGGGGCCACTGGTTGCTTTCCCTCCCAAATCTCTCCACTGTGCTTTCTGGAGCTGGCCCAGGGTGATGAGTGCTGTAGGCCGTGTGTCCACAGTTCATTCCCTTCACCCTGGGCACTAGACCAGCCTGGGGTGGGGAGTGTGACAGGTGACCTGAGATGTGAGTTCTCTATGGGGCAGGTGCTCTCATCACCCCTTACCTGGACCAGCAGAGGGGGACAGCAGTGATGACCCCTGCTGGTGGGAGGGTGGGATGCTTAGCACTGGAGATTGATCCCTTCCCACCGTAGGCAACCTGTCTTCCACCTTCTTGGCTTTTTGAGTCCAAAGACATCTAGGGGGAGGGGGAGGGGCTTGGGTAACCCAGGGAGACCTTAGCATGGGGTTGGGGCATCTTGGAAGAAGACAGGGATGGGGGTTTGACTGGATTGTGGTCTCCTGACCCATCTCCTTTTCCATTTTGTTGGAAAATGGGGGTAGTCTGTGCCTTGGGGGGTGAGGTTGGAAGGGGATTTGTGCCTAGGAGGTAAGCTGACAGGCTCCCTATGGGAGAGGCATGTCTATCTCCAAGGAAGAGGCTGCCCCTGCACCCTGTGGTGGCTGCAGGGTCCAAGGAAGTGGGTGTGCCAGTGGAGGAGGGGAGGCCTATGGACAGACAGCAGCATTGTAGAGATCTGGATGTTTTGACTTGGACTCTCAGGTTTTGTGCTGGCAGCTCTTGTGCCTTTCACTGGGCCACTATGGGGCAGGAACACAGACTAGAGTAGACATGAGTCTCCTTCCCCAATCTCCTTTTCTGTCCCCTTGGATCCACCTCCCCTCCCCCCAAAAACCAAAACAAAACACAGCTTCCTCTTAAGTGTGTCCTGCCCTTGGGCTTTGCACCCTATCCTCCTCTGCTCCTCCACCCACCCTAGTGTCACTCTAAGGATGTTTCCTCCTCCAGGAAGCCCTCCCTAGCCCTTGTTACTTGGCTTAGGACTCCTCTTTCTCTGGCCCTCTCCAATACCTGCAGTGGACATTAGTTACTTGTGTCTTATCTCACTCACCCACTCTCCCTCACCTTTGGAAGACAATGGCAGCACTGGTGTCATTCTGTGGCCACATCACTCAGCACAGAGCCTGGCATCAAAAAGCCACCAGTGTGTGGGAGAGTGGAGGGATGTGTGGATAGTATAGAGGATGTGGAGTTGAGGAGAGTGCAGTGAGCCACAGCAACCCTGAGAAGAGTGCTGTGGACCAGGGCAGCCCCCCCCCCCCAGGGCTTCATGCTGGAGGTGGAGCTCCAGCCAGACTAGGTGGATGAAAAGAGGTGAAGAAAGATGGGAAAGGGGGACTTGAGGTTGGAAGCCAAGAGACTGCTGTGGTTCCTTGGGCATCTCAAGGCCAAGCTCTGTGCCAGGCCTCTCACATAACCTTAATGCTCTCAGCAATCCCTCAGATGGGTTTTATTTGCTACGTCCAGTTACAGAGGATGATTCTGAGGTCCAGACTGGAAGAGTAAGCTGCCTGAAGTCACACACTTAGAAGATGGGAAAGCTGAACTCCAATCCAGGGGTTTTACCTTCCAAGGTCCCACCAAGCCTCTGGAACAAGGTCTTGATGGTGTGGAAGGGGATGCCTAAGACTTTCCAGCAGGAGCAGATATAAATCCTAAAATGTGGTGTGAGTGTTCTTGGCGAGTTCATTTCTCAGACTGTGAGACTGAGGCCTTGGAGTGTGATAGAACTCTTCTGAAGATCTCAGTGAAGAGAGCAGGCCCTGGACAAAGGCCCAGCTCTCCCAGCTGCCCATTGGATGTGGTTGCCACTGCACTATACTGCTGGGGACACACTGATTTTCCCATGCCAGGCTCTAGTTCTGGGCTGGGGCATTAGAGAATAACCTCAGGCTTGAGTTCTGCTCTGGTAAAGCCCTGGTAAAGTTAAGCCCTGGTAAAGCACTGGAGGGGACTTGCCCCATGTCCTGTGTCCCCAGACCTCCAAGAGGCTTCCTTGCACTCTGAATCCTGCAGCTTCCTGCCTCTACATCTCCTGATAATCTCAGGTTGATTGGAACTGCAGTACACCTGTGGTAACCGGCCTAGGGCCCATTAGTCCTTCCTTCTTCCCATCCCCCACAAAAGTGTTGCACTTGACTCCCTGGGGTGTGTGAAAGCCTGCATTCCATAGGGTGGGGAGACCTTGGTCCTGCCTTTTTTCTCACCCAGGCCCTTTGTTTTGAGACAGACTGGGGGTGGGTGAAGTAGCACCCCCTTCCTAAGGTGGGTTAAATATTCTAGGGAGCTACCCCCTCCCCAAGGTAGGTTAAATATCCTGGGGAACCAGGTGGGTCTTCAAATGGAGGGCTGTACTTAATCTGGGTCGTCTCTGGATTAGGGGAGAATTTGGTTGTTGGCTATACATCCAAAGGCAGGAGGTAGAAGTGTGCATGTTGGATTTAGAAAATGATTTGGGTATGCTAGGCTGGAATCTAGAGATTCCTGACTGGCAGGGAAGTGGCATCGGAAAGGTGGATTTAGTAGGATAGGGAAGACCTTTGCCCTGTGGTCCCATCTGTGATGTAGAGAGGTAGTCCAGTGGGGTTTTGGACAGTGATTGGAGGAGGCAGGGCCAACCGCAGGTTGAGGACACCTGAATCAGACCCAGACCTGGAAAGAGGCTGTTCTGGAAATCCCACCAAAGGGGCTGGTCATGTTCTTGGGATGGAGGGTCTCAGGCCTAGATCAGGGTTTGGACTGGAGACACCTCTCCTGTGTTCTAAGAGTATAGAAATATGGGTAGAGCCTCCACACTCTTCAGATGCTCCAGCTTCACTTTCCCTTGGCCTATGACTCCTCCAGGAAGCCTTCCAAGCTACTCCTAGTCTTACTGCTGCTTCTACCCAGGGCCTCTGGAGTTGTTCTGCCTCCTTTTGTGTTTCCTGGCTGCCAGCCCCTCTGAGAGCTACCAGGCCAGGTTTGGGCGTTTCCCATTCCTTTCCCCAGTCCCCAAGGGGAAGAACACCATAGATGGGGACTTCCCTTCTCCCGCAGGCTGGAGCAGCCTGATTGCTGAGGGTGGGATCCGAAGGCCGGTGCCCACCTCCCAGCCCCCCCACCTGGCCCAGGCCCTCACCCGGTTAGGTTCCAGGTGGGGTAGGGAACTGAAAGGAAAGACAGGAGCAGGGTCTTGCTACAGACAGTGGTTGTGAGTGTAGATCAACCCCCTCCACCCTCCCCCCCCCCCCGCAGTCTGCTCCAGCAGGGCTCCCTCCTCCTCCTTTGTCCTCGGGGATCCCCAGCCCCAAGGGCTGGTGGGGGTGCGGGAGGAGGCGGTGTGAGCCCCGATTAGGGGTGTCCTCACCCCCTCTCACTGCACGAGCGAGGGGCTGGCAGCTGCCCGCCTCCTGGGCACGAGCCCGTGCCAGCCGCTCCTGGCACAGTTGCTGGCACGCCCGGCAGACTCCCACGGCCACCTGCTCACACCCACCCACTAGCGCTGGCGCGCTGCGGGCCCTTCCGGCTTCCCGGGCCTCCCGGCGCCCCTCCCCCGCCGCGTGCCCCCCCCCAGCCCCCTCCGCAGTCCCCAGATCCCCGCGGACTCCTTGCTCCCTGCCGGCCCCCGCACAAGTTGGGGAGCTTTCCAAGAGGGGCCTCCGGGGGCCTCCAGGGTAAACGCGCGGCGGAGGGAGGGGTGGGGGGCTGGAAGGCAGGCGGGCAGACAGACCGACAGACAGGGTGAGGGCCCCGCCTGCCACCTGGCGCCGCTCCAGCGGGACGATGGCGGGCAGCGCCGTGCCAGGCGGTAATTGCAGACAGACTAATTTAAAGAGATGAGACGGTTATTTTTAACTCGCGTTAAGGTAATGAACGGCGCGGGGGGTTTGCGGGTTCGAAAGTTCAGCGCCCTCAGCCCCCACTTTCTGCGAGTCCGGGGCCCCCTCTCTGCAGGCCCTGAGGGCTTCAGCCTCCAGCCTGGTGGGTGCTGTGGGAAGGGAGGTTGAGGAACAGGGAGGCCTTGGCAGAGGGCCTGTCCCATCAAATCCTCCGGGCCACCCTTCCCGGTGGGAACATGACTCGCCCTGAGGTCACGGACCTCCGAAGTGGAAGACCCTCAAACTCCAGCGTTTCCTGTGCCATTGGGGTGGACTCCGGAGGGGGTGTGTGGGAGGGGGAGAAGGACTTGGATTTGGACTTTGAATGAGGGAGGAGCTTGTTCCCTGCAGCCTGCCTTCCCCTCTTTGGGTGGGGCCTCCGGAGAGGGCTGAGGAAGGGGTGCTCTGCTCGTGAACTGCCCAAATGAATGGCTGTGAGCCTCTGGGATGGGGGTGCTTCAGCTGTAAAGGGAGCCCTTTCTCATCTTCCCTGACCTCTCAGAACTGACCCACCCACCCCTCCCTACTCCTGTCTGTAGGCCCGCCTCCCACCTGGGGCTGGGCACTTGGGAAGTGGGTTGGGCCCCTCTCCCCCTAGACTGGTGCTCACCCCTCCTCCTCCAGGATGAAAGTAGTGGAATAACGTGGTGCCCACTTTGGCCGCCCCCACGCCC